GATGGATTTGGCACCTTTTGAGAGAGGGCAAAGACCTCAACTTACCGTGCGGTGTGGAGAACAGGCTCAGCAGGATAATGACGCTGGGTTGTACGCCGTGTTCTACGAGAACTTTGACAGCCTCAATGACAGTATTACCAGTACCTACAAGGGCAAACAGTGAGATTTGTCTTTTTTTTGTTCTTCCCCGGTTGAAGAGCTTGCCCTAGGCCACCCGAGAATGTCCGTGTTCACACTGGTGAGTGACTGAATGGTGATGCTGTCCTTTCCCACTGGACAGCTATCACCTCAGCGTGTATTCATCGTAGAAAACTTTGGTCTCCTGATGAAGGAACTGCAGCTCTGCTCTAAAATGGCCAACTCTGCCAGGGTTTAAGCACTGAAGTCGGTGGATTTTATTAACACCCTGAGGCAAGAAAGCTCATCTAAAATAGTAAAATGGCAATTAAGAGCTCCACGTGTGGAACCAGAATTAAATCTTAGACTGGAAAAGTTGCTTCATCCTGAACAAAATCCTCACCACACTTACAGGTTTGGGTTTTTTTTGTAGCATTAACTGTATTTAATTTAAAATAATTTACCTCTAGGATTGTCATATTAATCCAAAAATGTCTTTCCACAGCAGGAAAAAAATACTGTTTGAGTCTTTTCTCGTGGCAAAATTTAAAAAATTAGATTTCTATCAAGTCCTAATGCTTCAACCTTGCTCACAAACGCCCAAATGATTTGCTCTGCGCTCATGCTGGTGCAGGCTGACTAAAACGTATCCTGGCACAACCTGATAAATGTCACCTAAACCAGGCAAAAAAACCTAATCAAAGCCCCTGAAATTTGGACGTTTTCCTTTAAACTCAGCGCACTCACCGTGCAGATGAGTCTGACTCTGCAGAATGATGAACGGCACTTACTCAGGATTGGGTACATGAGAAGAACCTTCCTCCTGTAGATGTCTGGGGGGAACTTTGCGTAGTACACTTTCGCTCGTTGCGTCTCCTCGTCGCTCTGGATCAGGATTTTTCCGATGCGGATGGATCTACAGCAGTCTCGTAATCCTTGTTCCATTGCCTCTCCTCAAAATGAGCAGAAAAAGAAAAGCAACAACGAATTGTTACGTGCTAAGAAACGGCACAACTGCAAGATGCTGCAGTTAAATAGACAGTCCCAATACTGTACTGGTGAAGCGTTCTAAAAAGGAGATTTTTTTTTTTTTCCCCTCTCAGTTCTAAGTGTGAAAACACTTGAAGCTATTTTCCTTTTTTCTCTGTTTAGACAGAAAGCCCAGTCTACTTGGTGTGACTTAGCTGCTGGGTATTAGCGTTCCCAGACACCGGTGCTAAGCTCTCAAAGGCGAGAGCTGGAAACGTCAAAGCAAAGGGTTGGGGTTCGGAGAACATCTCTGAGCTCTGCCCGGGGACACCACGGTGCAAAATGCAGGGCAGGAGGCTGCGGAGCCACTGGATTTGACATCACAGGTACAAAGGTTTCCGCAGCGTTGGGCAAAGTGACGGTGACTCTGCCACC